TCTGAGTAAAACCAAAGTTACTTTCCCTAGTAACTAGTTACTTTGAAAGTAACGAGTAACTTGAAGTAACTGAGTTACTTTTGATAGAAGTAACTAGTAATGTAACTCAGTTACTATTTTAAAGTAACTTACCCAACACTGATTAGGACATAAATGTTTAATGTGTGTCATATTTGCTACATGCTGCATTGTTAGCGATTTTTATATGTTAAACATCTATTGTGGAATTTGTGTAGGCTTTCTGTGGGGGGGGGGGTCATGCATCAGAAATGACACACGTGACTTTACTGGGTTAGAAATGGGGCTGGTGGTTGTGGCGTGCAGTCCTTCCTCTGATGTGACTCAGAGGCGTCACCTCCTGCTTGGACCGCTGAAGCCTCCTCTGAGCGAATCTCTAAACTTGAGTTCATCAGCACTGCGTGTGTGTGTCAGGTGACCGTTTCGGTGAACAGCGGGAAAGGTGAGACCTCTGCATCGTTCATTCCCGAAGAGCCGCTGTGCGACGGCCGCTGGCACTCCATCTCAGGTGAGTTTCGTCCTCAGACGCGTGCTCCGTGCACTCCCCTGTCGCTGTACCGCTCTAATGCTGAAATGTCTCTGCAGTGGTGAAGAAGAACAACGTCCTGCAGCTGCACGTGGACGGAGCCAGCGAGCGCGCTGTCGGCCCCAAAAAGGGCCGCTCCACGGGGCCCAAGGAGGCGGTCTACCTTGGAGGCGTGCCAGGTGAGTGCATGGCGTTCACAGACCACCTCAGTGATGCAGACTGGCCTCTGTGAGGATCACGAAGATCTCCACCACCTAAATGCAGCCGTTTCCTGTTCCCACATTCCTGACATCCTCGCCACTTTGTCCGTGTGACCAGTTTCTTTGATCACTTATCAGATTTTAATCAAATCTGTCGCCTCCCGTCTGCGTTTAACGTCTTTACTCAAACATGCTTGATTAGTCACACTACTCATTACTGCATAACAGGGATACAGTCGCACACGTTGTCAGTGCAGCGCCTCATTAATGCGTCACTCCTCTCTCTGTCCACCAGGTGGCATCACTGTACCCGGTCTACCACCTGGGCTGGCGTCCTTCCACGGCTGCGTCCGCCGGGCGAGCATCAACAACAGAGCGGCGCCGCTGTCAAAGCCGCTCGCTGTGCACGGCGCCGTGGGAACGCGCGGCTGCCCACATGTTTAACCCCACCCCCTCATATCTTACCTTCACACTCCCTGAGTACACATCAGCACCGGTGGTGGGCGTCACATTACTGTAGGGAAGTTAAGATATCTATATGAGTATTTATTTTTTAAGAAATGTGTATTTTATATTTCCCCCCGTTTGTTTGGTGCTGCAGAGACGGAACGACGATGTCATCGAGCGGCACGGTAAAGCCAAGTTCGACCATCTTTGCATGTTTCTTCTAAATCATCCAGCAAACCGTCGCGTAATCGTGCGTCTGCTGCAGACACCGACTCTAAACGCTGATCAGTGAGCACAGACTGTACGTGGAAGATGGACGCAGCCGCTTCCTCTGCGACTCGGAGGCGTCGGTAATCTCAACGGTGATCCTTTGATTCAGTCGGACCTGAGACCAAACACCAATCGCTGCACTCAGATCAGCTCGGCAGAGGCTCGTAGACTTCTGTCCAGAGTCCCCGCCCGCTCAGTCCATCTTTGATATACAGTCTGAACACGAGCAACATCCTCAGGTAGAGCAGACAAAAAACAAAGCCTGCAAATCTGGGGAATGTCTGATTTCGTGACCTTTGACCTCACATAGTAAAACTTTTGTTTGACATGTGAACGTTACGTCCTCGCCGGTCTGCAGGCGCCGTTTCCATCTGAAACACGAAGCCTTCTAGCTTCTCTGATCCCCCGTCCCTGTCTGTCACATGTTTAAATAAAGTTTTTCCGTACCAACAGTCTTTGTGTTTTACATTCATAAAAAGAAGCTCATGTTTCAGTCATTACGTTTTTATTAGAAAGAGCTGAATACACCCGAAGCCCCGCCCTCTTCAGAGGAAAAAAAAGGTCATGGAAGGGTCAAACCTTTGATAGAAGAAAAAGTGAAAAAGAATGAAACAGATGATGTCACAGAGACTAATCCAGACTCATGTCCTCCTCGTCCTTCTTCTCCTTCGACTCTTCTCTGCTGCCCTGCATGGCTCGAGCGAACGCCTCCACATCTGCTGACACACACAGATCAATAACCAAGAATCCAAGACCTGTCAGCCGTGCGCGATTGCTCACGCGCTCAGCTTGGAGGGAACATTGGTAGGGATTCATTTTTGATGCTAAGGGTAAGCAGCTGAGGAAAGCAATATACCAATGAGATGTGCTCACTAAGATAGCAAAACGAGAATGTGTGTGTGAGGTAAAAGGGTGGACTTAATGCTAACTGACCTGCAGGGGGCGCTCATGTCAGGACACTGTCACAGCGCCACATGCAGACGCCCGTTGTGTGTGTGAGGATGAACGCAGCACAAACAGGAAGTTCAGCGTGCGTTTGGTTCACTCACCTCCACGGTTGGCTGCGTCCACGGCATCGGGTGGCAGTCCAAACTGACTCATGAGGGGGCCGAGCTGCCCGGAGGCCAATGCACTGCTGAACATGCTCATGGACTGGAGGGGAGGAGAGAAGAAAAGCGAACGATGAGCGCGGCGCTCAACGTGTTTACATCATCACCGAGCGTCGCCAACGTTACGTTGTACCTGCTGGAACTGAGGAGAGTTCAGGGTGTTCTGGATCTCCTCGGCGCTCTGCGGCAGACTCTCCCCACTGGGGAGAAAGGGGAGGAGCCTCTGCTGGACCTCGGCGTTGCTCAGAATGGGAGCCATCATCTCTGGGGTGCACACGCTCGCCAGGTCCACTGCAGAAGGAGATAAGAAGCTGTGAGTGTCTGCGCTCCCTTTCAGAGGCACACGTGACCTCACTCATGTGACTCACCTGCTGAGCCCTGAGCCCCTGCTGCCGGCACATTCATGGTGGCCAGGATGCTCTGAAGATCGCTGAGCTGGATGGGCTGGTGAGGGGCGGGGCTTCCAGTGGAGGCCGGGGCCACGGGAGTCTGAGCCGGGGCTGTAGAGGATAGAAGGTGGGAGGAGTCAGGGGGTTTTCAAGTAACAATCACATGCAGGTGACATCAGAAAAAATGAATTGAGTTGCTGTGATTTACTGTAAACAAAGACGAGAACATTTAGGACCAATCAGGTTCCTCCCTGATGTCATCGTCAGGGAGGAACCTGATTGGTCCTAAATGTTCTCGCAGAAAACTACAATCAAGCCCATAATTATTCATACCGGTGGCAAATTTTGAGTTACTTTGATTCAACCAGCAAGAATTTTTTGGCTGAAAATAACACAAGTGTCTCCCAAAAAATCATTGTGGAAAACAACATTTCTCAGCTTTTATTTACATTTGAAGAAAAAGTGTCACGTCCAGAATTATTCATACCCGTCACAATCTGTCACAGCCTCTGGGAAAATCCAAAGTTGGACACCAGCAGACTTTTCAGCACAACAATGACCCAAAATGCAAACGTGCTGAATAAACGGTTAGCAGACAACACTAACATTTTGCAGAGTCCTGACTTGAATCCAACTGAGAATCTGTGGAGGGAGCTAAAGATCAGGGTGATGGCAAGAGGACCCTCCAAACTGCAGGATTTGGTGCTCATTGCAAAAGATGAGTGGGCAAAAATACCTGTGGAGACGTGCACAAAGCTGCTCTGCAATTAAAGCGCTTGATTGCTGTAATAGCCAAATAAGACTTTTCTATTGATAATTGAGAAGAGTATAAATAATTCTGGACATGACACCTTTTGTTCAAATGTAAATAAAAGCTGAGGATTTTTCCCCACAGTGATGCCTCTTGTACATCTTATCTTTTGGGAAACACCCACCTGTGTTTAAAAAACAAAACAAACTTGGTTGAATAAAAGTAACTAAGTCAAAATTTGCCACCGGCAGGAATAATTATGGGCTTCACTGTATATTTGAAATCTTCCACTTGCAACACCACCTGCCTTTTATTTTGAAAGTCATCCCACTGCTAACAAGGAACTTGGGCACTTCCTGTTGTGCCTTTTTCTACTGTCTGACCATCTTCCTGTTCTTGTCATTAAGCCCCCCCCCCTCCTCAGTGCTGCCGGTCTCAGTTCAGTTATAGAGGGTCGCTCCAATCAGAAGCTACAGGAGGAGGAGGGTGGAGGTCTGATCTACAGGTGATCAGCCTCTATCCCGTTTTGTTTTGCTCCGCCTCAAGCCCCGCCATCATCCCATAACCCTCTGTGACGAACTGCTTCCCGTTTCCTTTGAAACTCGGCATGTAGCCTTCATCTCTTTCTGTACCTGGTGTGGAGGGCGTGGCAGCGGTGGAGGAGGGAGCCGAGGTGACGGGAACAGTGGCAGGGGCAGCGGGCGCCTGGGAGGAGCTCATTCTGGGACCTCCGCCTGGAGAAGGAGTCACTGCAGCTGATTGGCTTCGAGAACTGAGGAAGAGCAGCACAGGTGAACAAAGAGGAAGACTGCAGGTGTGTGTGCGTGTGTGTCTGTCTCACCTGGATGAGGAGCTGCTGGTCACAGGTCCTCCGCCCCCCAGCAGGTTGGCGAGTCCCGGTCCAGCTAGAGCTCCCAGGCCTCCTTAGACAAAGACATCAGATCAAAAACCTGGAATAGCCCCGCCCCCAGCTACACGTCACACCTGAGACGGCTTCACCAGCATGCTTCTGAGAGGAGTACACCTACGTCATAACTGGAAACTCTTTTTCATACAGCGCAACCTTCCACAGACGTGCAGCCCCTGACAAACCTAACTACATATTGAGGCGTCGCGTGTGGAAGGCTGCGGCGGAGGGTTGAGTGGGATTTCCTGTTATGGCCGAAATTAGGACGAAACCAAGCTTGACCTTTAGAGGCAGAGAATAACTTCCAGGAACTGGAGCAGGTGTTCATGAACTACGTGCAGGTGTGTGTAGGTCAGAGCGCTCACCGAGACCTCCGAGCCCCGTGGGTCCCATCAGCTGCATCAGCTGGTTGTGGCTCATGTTTCCCAGCAGGTTCTGCAGGCCGCCCTCTCCTCCCAGCGCTGACAACTCGTGGCCACCGCCGCCGCTGCCGGATGCTCCGGGGATGGGAGGGTTGTTCAGGTACTCGTTGACCTTCCGGCAGTACTCGTCATCTTTGTCAGTCTTTGGCTCCTGATGGCATCAGAGCAGAGTTATTGCTACTTACAGGTTCTCGTGGCTCGCTGTAATCATGCAAGTGTGTGTGTTTTTTAATGGTGCAATGCTGTGAGGTGTTCATGTATATGTGAGTGTGTCAGCCTTTAGTAAGCACGCTCTTTCAATATCAGATGCAGCCTGATGAAGGCGCTCTAATGCTGACATCTGCCATCACATGAACTAAAACGTTCCCCTCTAGGATGAAGACGAGCTCACCTGCATCCAGAAGAAGAGCCGCTTGGACCCGGCCTTGAATTTCAGGACGTAGACACGTCCGGTGGTGCACTGTGTCACCCTTTTAAACTCACAGTCGTCAGGGAAGATGATCAGGTCCTGTAAGAGGAAACAAACAGGAGGAGACATTTAAAGGAGAGACATGGGGCTGCTCTCACACATCATCAAATACCAACCAATCAGAGAGAGGGAGCCAGAGGCAGCAGCTCTGAGTGAAGGCGCTGAAATAACGAGAATCATGTGAATGATCGGATTTGAAATCATTTCTTTCAGGACTTTGAGCTCTGCTCAGTGAGATCAATCTGTGGGTGTGGAAGGATGAGTATGTTCCACTCAAGAACATCTCAGTGCTTTAACCTCCTAGGACCTGCGTCCACATATGTGGACATCACATTTTGGGTTATTTAGACCAAAATACTCAATTTTGCTCTACATGGGCCTGATATCCACTTACGAGGACATTATGCTGCTACTGTTCTATCGAAATTTTAAATGAATATCCTCATATGTGGCTCTCATTTTTCTTAGAAACAAAAATAAGGTTAAAAAAAATCTGGTAATTCTTTGTTTTTACATTCATCAGGTCCCAATCAGCCCAAATATCAAAGAGAAATTAAAAATGCTGCCGTGGAAAAGTTCGAGTCTTAGGAGGTTAAACCAGCTCTACATGTGGGTAGAGGCCAGGAAGTGGTTAAGTTTCAGTGCTGACTCCGTCAGCTTTACCTGACCTCACGGAGGAATTTCTGCTTTATGGAAGCGGTGCACAGAGAAATGAGGAAATGAAGCGCCGATGTGCGCTGGCCTCTCTCAGCTCCACCCTGTAAACATCAGGAACCACAAACACTCGACTGGTTCAGGGTGACTCACATCATCTACGTTCCCCGTGGTCCGGTCCTTCCAGCAGAAGTGGATCAGAGAGTCATCGGACTGCTGGATGTAGACCAGCCCTTTCCGTTTGTCCGGGGTCACCGTGTTGCCCTTCAGGTTCATTTTACCTGCTCGAAACTCCACCAGGTACTTGCTGGAGCTTGCTCTGGAGCCGCTGACCATGCTGGGGAAGAGAGCGCCCGAAGACATCTTTGAAAGTTTTTGTTCACAAAGCCTGATGGGAAAGAAAGGAAGGAGCAGAGGGTCAAAGAACAGGATGCAGTGAGATCACTCAGAGATCTTACGTCAGCACGTTAAAGCGTTTGACGTTTATGTGTCACTAAATAAAGTCTCCGATGTCTTTAAACATAATAACCAACAAACTCAATAAAACTCAAGTTTAACTTGAACTGTTATCTCTGATTATTACCCTTCACTCTTACATTTCCACGTTAGTTCTCATCACGTATCGATACCTTTGATTAAACAAATCAAAAGTATCCTTTCACGTCTTAAACGTAGACTAGAGTCGCTCTGCTTTGTCCTGTGTTACTGTTTTTATGATCATATATTCTGTTGGTAAATCATCGTGTCTGCGCGTATAGCGGCTGAGGAGCACTGTGCTGATGTTTAATGAGGACTGTAATTATTTTTTGTTATATTTGTGTCTTAAAATCACTTTTCATAAAAGCTAAAAGTTAGCCTGCTAGCTGCCGTTAGCTGTGGCGTGCTAACGTTAGCACATGACGAGGCTAAACAGAACACCACAGTAATATTCACTGCCGTCGCTTAACTACGGTCAGTCAGACATTAGAAACAAGAGCCAGCTGTGCATCCGATGGCTTTCCTGCAACTTTTCTGTGAAATGTGAATTTTGTTGAGCTCTCCAGCACAAATACCTGAAGTTGTGCCCGCAGAATAAGTTTTTCTGCTTCTTCGCGTCGCTCAACGTCAAAGATGATCTACGGAGGGACTAGACTTCCGGTTAAACCCACTGTACAGAAACAGAATGCAGACCAGCCGGCGGACAGTGGAGGGCGCTCCCATAGTGACAGTATAGGAATAATGCCATTTGCTGCCAAACAAAAAATGTTATTTTAGTTTTCATAAATCCAGCACATCATCTGAAACACGACTCCAAATTGGTTTGATCACATTTACGCTGATTTTGACCATAAACACAGACATCCTGTTCTGATTGGTTAGTTAAGTCAAGTCAAGTCAAGTCAAGTTTATTTATAAAGCACATTTAAAAACAACCGAGGCTGACCAAAGTGCTGTACAATAAAATACAAATATAAAATGCAATAAAACACAAGTACATAAAACACCTCACTAAAACAATAAATTAAAACAGTAAGTTAAACCTTGCTAAAAGCCAATGAGAAGAGGTGAGTTTTAAGAGCAGTTTTAAAAGTTCCTAGGCTTGTGGAGAATCTGATGTGAGGAGGTAAACTGTTCCACAGTCTGGGTGCAGCCACAGCAAAAGCCCTCTCTCCCCTAGTCTTTAGTCTGTACCTGGGAACATCTAAAAGCATCAGGTCTGCTGACCTCAAAGATCTCCTGGGGCGGTAAATGCTAAGAAGCTCTGCCAGGTAAGGAGGTGTAGTACCGTTAAGAACCTTAAAAACCAGCAGTAAAATTTTAAAATCAATCCTAAAAGCAACTGGGAGCCAGTGGAGAGAGCAGAGGACCGGAGTGATGTGGTCTCTCTTTTTGGAACCGGTCAGCATGCGAGCAGCAGCGTTCTGCACCAGTTGGAGGCGATGCAGACAGGAACGATCTAAACCAGCATAAAGGGAGTTACAGTAGTCCAGCCGTGAAGTGATAAAAGCATGGACCACCCTTTCTAGATCGTTCCTGGACAGGTAGGACTTGACTTTAGCTAAAATCCGTAGATGATAAAAAGCTCCCTTGACTATACGGAGCTGATTTGTTTATCAAATTTAAAAGCACTGTCAAAAGTAACACCGAGGCTCTTAATGGAGGAAGTACATTCGGAAGTTAGGGGTCCCACAAAATCAAAGGAAAGGTCGGGGTCTTTAGGAAGCCCAAACACAATGACTTCAGTTTTACTTTCATTTAGATGTTAAGTTAGTTAAGGTTTTGTAGCAGGAGGTCCTCCAATCGATGGGTCCTGTTTTCAAACGGTAACTCCAGCAGACCACCATATTTCTGTCATTTTCTCAAGGATGTGGAATTGTACATAAAATCAATATCAGGAGGCAGCACGGCGGTTAGCACTGTTGCCGCAGCAAGAAGGCCCTGAGTTCAATTCCACCGGGGGCCGGGGTCTTTCTGTGTGGAGTTTGTATGTTCTATCCCTGTTTTTGCGTGGGTACTCCGGCTTCCTCCCACCGTCCAAAGACTTGCAGTTTGTGGGGATAGGTTAATTGGATAATCCAAATTGCCCATAGGTGTGAATGTGAGAGTGTGTCTCTGTTACCCTGCTACAGACACGCGACCTGTCCAGGGTGTAGTCCACCTCTCGCCCTGTGGCAGCTGGCTCCCGCGACCCTGAAAAGGATCATCGGAAGCGAATGGATGCATGGATCAATATCAGCCTCCACCAACAAAAATGCTCTCAAAACAGTATATAAAATAGAATTTTTGCGTGTATTTATATAATTTTTTTTACCCCTGGTTTTGTGTGTTCATGTTCTGTTCTCTTGTATTCTTGATCTGTTTATATGTTGTATACTCATTGTTTGTTCAATAAAGTTCCTAAAAAACCTCCAGCAGACGTTAGGAGCGTAATTAAAGTGAGCAAGAAGCAGCTGGTTGTGATGTTAAAGGTGAAGCTATCAGGCGGCTGCTGCTGGCGGCTTACGGTGCTGTGAGGGCCGTAATGCTCGCATAAGGGTTTTACCACAAAAGAAATATGTAAAACATCTAAACACACGACGGAATCTACCGCCTCGACGCTTCCATCACAAACAGGGTTAACGTAAAACGTTTGGCTCCACGGAGTGCCACGAGCTCGACAGCGCCTCCTGTGGAGCAAGAAGCTCAGACAGCGGGCCGCTCCTCGTGACTTCCTGAGCGCTTGTGAGCGCGCCTGCTGTCAGCGGGAACGAGCAGGGCAGAAAGTGGGAGGGTTTGCGCGCGGCCGTTGTGTTCGGATTGACTGCGCGCCCCCTCCCGGTGTAGCCGTTAGCTCGGTGTCCGGTCGATGTTTTAGCGGCGGAGCGTGGACTGGAAGTGGGATGATAGTGTTGTAAACGTCGAGCCAGGCTTCAGCGACCGAGAGAGGACCAGCAGCCGCTCCGCCCCCGGGACAGAACAGGTAAGAAGCCCGGGCTAGCCGCTGACGTTAGCCGCGCCGCCGTCCTTGGATTAGACTCGGGCTAACAACATGGATGCTGCTGCTCTCACGCCTGCAGATTATCCGCTTTAACCTCGAGCTGAGCCCTCGGCCGTGACCGGCCAGCTCCGGTTTAGGTGCCCGGTGTGAGGGGCTCGGGCGGACTCCCGGTCCTCGTTAGTGTTTGTTCAGATGTGACGGATCTAATCGAGGGGAGACGAACGGGATAAGTCCGGCTTTAGGGGCGGGGGAGGGGTGTGGGTCCGTCGGTTCTGATCAGAGGTCGCCGCCGTGTGGAGCAGGTGGGGTTACAGGTCGTGGGGTGCAGGTGGGTACTGGCCAACACCGTGAGCTGCACCTGTCCCCTCAGCAGGGGCGTAACCACGGTTTTTAAAAGGGGGCATGCGGGATGATGTTCCTGATCCTCTCAGGGTCTCTTCTTGGATATAACCGAGGATGTTTTTTGGCTCCCCCTGGTTACCATCAAGGTCAAATTAATTTTAACACCAGAGCTGTGTGCCCACTGGTGTTCTCCCCCTAAAGTTCCCTAAACTCACTCGTTTAGTTCAGGCTGATCCCAGAGGCTCAGAGTTAATAACAGGAAGTAAAACTGCTAGCAGGATGTGTTTTAGCTTTGGTTTATCAAGAAGATGAGACATCTCCAGGGTGATGTCACCACCAGCAGTGGTTGGTGATCAGTTATGAGCATATTATCACCTTATCCATCCTGGTGTTGTGGGTAGGGGGACGTGTCTGGCCTTAATGAGCTTTGAAATATAAATAATGGTGAAGCCTTACCTGTGCATGCTGTCAGACACCTGCGAGTATGAGCACACAGCTGAACAAACAGCAGGACATCCAAAACCTAACAGGAAGACCGTGTTTCCTTCACTCCTGAGTCCCAGGACCTTTTACTGCTTCTTGGACTGTTACTGGGATCTTTGGGCCCTTGGTGAAGTTCACACCATTACCTTTAGGCAACAAGCAGAGCTGAAGATGCTCAGGTGTTCACTGGGAGTGAGTACGATGAGTCCATCAAAGGGACAGCTCAGAGTCTGAGAGGTGATGCTTAGATGGTGCAGAGGAGGGAAGGTGGATATATTGGACAAAGGATGATGAAGATGGAGCTGCCAGGCAGGAGGTTCATGGATGTAGTGAAGGGTATGCGACAGAGGAGGATGCTGGGATCCGCTGTGAAACGAGGAGTCGTCGTGTCTATTACTGTGTTTCATCAGCAGGGACACAGATGGACTCTAATTGCTGCCTGGTCTCTGAGATATGATCTGCAGATCTGCCCGTCCCATTGGCCAGCTGCTGCGTGACCTCAGAGTCGGTGTGAGGCGTTTTCATCTGTTTATGTTTTAAATCTTTCATGACCTGCACACATCAGGGCTCCTAAAGTCAATTTTAACTGAGTCAGCTGGTCTCTGTTTGATGACTGATGATGACATCACTAGATCTGACACAAGTGGTCACGATGAGTCATGTGACTTTCATTCACATCGGATCACGTGATATCACAGCAGTTAGCGGTCAGCTGAGAGGAGCTGGATGTGGGGCTGTTATTGAATACCTGATAGGTGTGTTTAATATACTTTAGTGTGTAAGATGGATAAAAAGCATCGGAGCATCACATTTAAAAATAAAATTAACATATCTGTCAACGCTCATTGATAGCTGCCTCTTCTCCTGTGGTCCAGCCTGCGATCAGCTGTTCTGCAGCTTCCTGTCACGCAGTTTGAGCCACGAGGACCCTTAAAACCCTAAAATTATCCTCCAGCTGGGACCAGCTGGCAAAAGATGCAAACTCAGCAGCCTGCTGAGTGCTTTAAGGTGATACTGTGCAAAGGAGGTAACACCTCGAATCTGATGAAACATCTGGTGACGCATAGCCAAAAACCCGAAGAGGAGAGTCCTGGCCCCGAGCCCTGCCAGTGTAGCAGAAATGATGAGGATGATGATGCAGCAGCAGCCGTTCTTCTCTGCGTGAGTAGCTTAATGTTGTTCGTGTGTAATTTACGTTGAATAGGCTAACCACATTATTACATTAATGCATGTAAGGTGAACTAGCAAACGCCGTCGTAGCTACATGCGGCTGTCTTCTTGTTTGATAGAGTGATAGAGAAGGCTAACATTGTTATCTTTTTACAAAAAAACAGCTAAACATGAGAGGTTTTAGGACGAAGTTTGTGTTCTCCATTCTTTAAGCACCGGTTCCAACCAAAGGAGGTATGTTGTATCAACAGAAAAGGCTAACTTGGTTAACATGTTGCAGAAAAAAAGAGACTGCTAAAAATAAAAACATGAGAGGTTTTTGGACCAAGTTTGTTCTCCATTCTTTAAGCACCGGCACCGTTTCAAAAGTATCGGTTTGGATAAAACTAAACGATACCCATCCCTAGATAGGCTTCATGCTGTCAGAGAGAAAACCCACCAATCAGACAACCTTCTGTGAGCAGCACTCGGTGACAGTGGGAAGAAAGAACCCCCTTTTAAAAGAAAGAGCCAGGCTCAGGCAGGGGAAAGATGCTCGTTGTGCTGCTAGAAGGAAGGAAGTCAGATGCTGTGACGTTACGGAGTCACAGAGTCCTGACTGCTTAAAACCACAACTCAGGTTGTTTTAGCTCCTCACAAACACACCTGAGCTGTGCTTTTGAGGAGGTTTTTAAGATGAGTCACAGGGCACGGTATGAAGAGCTGCAGGTGGAAGCACAGGCGGAGTCTGGTTTGTTTTGTTTGAGAGAAGCTGTAAGTCACGTTTATGATCTGTAGGAATCACTTAAAACAGACTGTATGTGAAAGATGGACTTAGCAGCTGTGAGGTCAGCTGGTGTGAGCCCGCGATCTGAGCGTTTTCCCCGCTGCCATCTTTGGGGTTTTGAAATCGGGCGAGTGTTGCCACACGCTCATACAGTCATTGTCTAGCTCCGCCTCCCTGCATCCTCTGTTACTCTAACGGGCCATAACCAAACATCAGTCAGAAACCAGCGACTGAGACCAGAGACTCCTCGGGAAGGTATTCACTGAGCTCGGAGATCAAGCAGGGCTCTTTTTCTCACAGACTTCTATCCAATCAGAGCAGAGGAGACACCCCCTGCTGGACATCCGAGCCAATCCAAGTTTAAGATTCTCCAGCAAGCACGCAGCAGTTTCAACATTACTGGATCACAGGGGGATATGACCTCAAACTGTGCGGATGAGGTCAGAGGTCACATGCTGGGATTAAACATTCACCTTTACTGCAGCGTCCTGATGAGAGACGTGACACAGACACGGCACTGGTTTGACTCATGATTGCGTCAGGCCATCCTATCGCAGGCAGTCGTGTGATTGCAGGTCATCTGACTGCAGGTGAACCTTCACCTTCCCTCCTCCTCTGGCGTCGCTCGCCCTGCCTTAGATCAGTTGCTTCTCCCTCCCCGTCTCTGCTGCCTGAGTGCAGGAGACGCTGTGAGAGTTTCAGAGCTGTTGTGTTAATTGTGTTGAGGCGTTGTTCATCTGGAGTGCTTTTTGATTGGACGAGCAGATCAGTGTGATCTCAGCTGCTGTGTGTCATTCATCATGGCGTTTACAGGAAACGCATGAAAATCGCTGAAAATGTGAAGTTCAGTCAGTTTGTGTGTTTCATTGGAGTGTGCAGAAAGCTGCTCTGATGCTTCCTGTGTGCAGCTCACTGATGAAGCTTCTGACTGCATGCTGATTGGACGTTAGCTCTCAGGTTTTACTGCCCCATGTTCATTTTTATTTTTGTTTAAATATTAGTGAAATTTAATTAACAGTGTTTTATATTATTTCTTTAAATCATTTTATCTGAAAAGTGTTTTGAGTGTCTTGAAATTATCCAGTGCCTCCCGTGCCCCCCTTTAGACTCACCCCTGTGTGCCTCCAGGTGAAACTCTTTGCTCTCTGCCGTGCGTGCTATGACATCATGCTCGTACCTGATATTCACGTGCTGCTCAGCTGTGTTTCTACTCACTGATGTGGGAGAAACTGGCGCTTAGGTGGATGAATTTGTGCAAATGAGAAAGCTGGAAGAGATTTCAGGCTCAGACGGCGAGAAGATGATGCTCTGTGGCTCGATCTGTAGGCGACACTCGCTGAACGAAGTGAACGCTCAGGCTCCCGACTCATGCAGCAGCTGTGTTTACTGAGTCAGCTGCAGCTGTCGATTACAGCCCTGTGTGTGTGTGTGAGCCAGTATGAATGAATTACAGTATACAGTCTGTTTGTCTCTGTGGTTTTCTTTACGAGGCCTCGTTTCACTGGTTTCACCCTCAGATGCGTCCCCCGAGGTGACGTTTATCCACCTCACCTGCGAGCTGAGCTCCATCACTGCGGTCGTCCTGCTCTGCTCATTATTTCAGCTCCTTTAAGAACCTACACATCCAGAATGATCTGGTAACTACACATCTGTAATCTGAGGACAACTGAGGACTGTCTGACACATCAGAGCGGTCTTTCTAGAAGCATACACCTGAGAGGTCAAAGCCCCGCCCTCCAGAGAGCGCCTCCTGCCTTCGTCTCCTTCACCCATCAGATGCTCTGATTGTGGTTTTCTTGGCTCATTTAGCAAATATCACAAATTTTCTTCAGAGCAAAATGTTATTTTCTTAATAAAAGAAAAGAAACTCTGATGTACAGGTTGACTCACTGTAACGACTGAAGCCAGCGAGCTCTGTCTGTCAGGTAAAGCAGCTGCAGCACATTTATAGACCCACACAAATATCCGGTGCTGGCTTCATGACTTCACCTGGACTTCCTGCCTGCTTTGACCCTTTCACTGCTCATACTGAGGCTCTGACCTCTGGGTAGCTTTAGCTTTAGCAGCTCTGTCTCTGTTAGCGTCTTGAAAACCTCCGTGTTTGTTTGGGGGGCACCCAGTGCACATACGTGACACGGACCCGCCTGAAAACGCTGGGAATCAGCTGATCAGAGGTTTTCTTTCTAACTCTGTGTAAGTGCTGTGAAAACACAATCATGAA